GAGGCAAGGGCAAAGCACTTCTGAAAATCCTTGCCAAGAAAACCGCAGGGGCTTGTCCAGGTGGTCGCCAGGAGTCCACACACATACACACACACACACACACGTACGTCTTGGTTGATGGGTGGCTTTGCTTCGGAGTTTCAGATTTTGAGTGCATCTGAAAAAGCCGAGAGTGACTCGGAGCGGTCGGCTGGAGCTTCGAACACATCCTCAGCACCCTGTGCGTTGCCTTCGTTTGGAGAGTCTCTGCAGAGACTTCCGACAGCACCCTCTGGGGCAGCTCTGGCCCACGGGACGGCCTCCCCGCTGCGGCTCAGCTGCCGAGGCTTGCCTTTTCCCCAGGCATTAGCATTTTACGGAGTTATTATGTGGTGTCTCAGTCGCTTACTGTTGTTTTCCTTGTACTGTATTTTTTAATCGATTAGGATTTTTAAGTATTGGTTGCCACCCAGAGTTATGTACTTAAGATGGGCATACATCTTTGTACATTTTCTAAATGTATTTTTCTAAATTTGGAAATGCAAGAGAGATTAAGGTGGTTGAGCTGTTAAACTGGGAGTGGTGCACTCGGTTCATGCTCTTGAGGCAGCTGATGCAGTCAATCAATGGTGTGTTTTGCTCACAGACAAGCTTAAACTTAGTTTTGGACCTGACCGGGACCGTTTTCAGCCAGGAGGCAACCAGCGGAAAGGGCCCCTCCAGCTCATGTGAGACGGGCAAAAGACCCCACAGTTGACGTCTCTTCCCTCTTCTTGCGTTCCTTCCCGCTACAGCGGCTGTTCCCGGGTTATGGCAAGGGCTAGCCAAAGGCTACCACTGCAGGCAGCCACTAGATGGCAGAAAATATTTTTCTGGATTTCTTGTGCCACGAAGGCTGCGGCAGGAAGAGGCTCGCTCAGGCCGGGCCTTCCGTTCTGGATTTTGTTTCATGCAGCCTGGAATGGGGCTGACGGGACATTCAGAATGCGAGGTTTTGTTCCCTTTTTGAAACAAAGCATTTTTTTAAAAAACCCAGCCCCGGCCCCATTATTTGCTTATGTTGCAAGACAACATTCTCCTGCAGCCTCAGGCGGTCCTCGTGTGCCACCTGGGGGTCCAGACGGAGCCTCCGCGCAAGGGCCTTTCCCGGATGGGGGCAGCTCACCCGGCTTGCCGCGGTCCAGGAGCTCCAAGGCTGGCTGGGACAACCGCTGAAGATTACGCAGCCGGCTACGGAAGTCATCCTCGGGGACTAGGTGGCCGCAGGCCATACTGGAACAGCGGAGTGTGCCCTCGCCCTCGCCCTAGAAAGCCCAGTTAACACGGTTGGCCACGGACTCGCTCCCTCTCGCTGCTGAGAGCCAGGCGGCTGGGAACTCTGGGGTCAGCTCCCGGCACATCCGGATGTACGGGTTGTGGGAGGGGGCACTGCAGAGCTAAGCTTTCCCACCCCTCCACTCCAGCGCGACCCGACCGCACCTTACCTGCACGGGCATCTGGCAGGCAGGGCAGCAGAAAAGGCTGGCACTGGGGGCAGAGGCTTCACTGGGGGGTCCGGGCTGCAATTCCTCCAAGCAGGCCTGACACTGACACTCAAAGAAGTACTGAGCGAGGAGCTGCCTGCGCCTCTCGGCAGCCCTCATTCGGCACCTGTGAGGCCCTGCGGGAGCAGAGGCGAGAGGGAAGGGTCAGAGGGCGGGTGCTCACCCGGGTCTATCGAAACCGCCATTTCCACCTGTTCTGCTTTTCTGGTTGAAAGCAGGGAAGCCGGCCGGGAGCTCGTTCCAATCTTTGTTTTAGCCCTTAGGCTTGGCCCTTGCCAACAATTTACCCGGGCTTCCAATTCTTAAAAAAGAAATCAATATCTGCCCCCCCATCCCCAAAGGAAATAAATATGTCAGTCTCCCAGGGAGGAAAACTGCTCTAGAGGAGGTGAGATGAGGTGGCAGCTGCAGGACCATCAGGACCACGCAGGCAGCGCTCGTCACGCAGTGAAGAACTCAATTTCAGCCAAGCTTGTCTCTAAAGAGAAATGTGAATGTAGAGCAAACACACATTCGGAGAATGGCTGTTTTTAACGCCACTATTACACACAACTACTGCTCCAAGTGGTACTTTTTTCCCTGCGTTTGGGTCACCCAGAAATGTGATTCCTATACATATTCAAACATTTATCTCTCACTCATCCTTTTGTTGGGCTCTCGAATTTGCTCTCAGACTAAGAGTAATGGACTCATAAAATCATAGCACTGGATATTATGTCATAAAAAACAAATATGCTGAACATCAGAAAGAAAATGAAAAATGGTTATTATTTTTTTATGCGCCGTTAGATTTTAAGCTGCCACACAGTGAAAGTGGTTTTCCAGGGCGCTTCCAACATCCTTCAAGGAACAAAAAATAAGTTATCCGGTGCAATCACAAAAACTTATTATGCCCCACGTCCGTGAAGGAAGGAGGTGGGGAGAAAAAGGGAAGATGAACAGGAGCCCAAGGATTCCCATCTGGCACCGTGTTGTTCCTAACCGGCTGGTGAGGGCAGTTTGAGAGGGGAACCAGTTCCTGGGGAGGGGCTGGCTCTCCTTCCCTGGAAGGGCTCAAGAGCAGGCTGGACGACTGTTTGTCAGCAGTCCCCTAACGGACATTCGTGAGCCAAGCAGAGGGCTCGATTCGGCAGCCCTCCCAACTTTAGCCACGCTTACTGTAGAGAGCAGAGGGAATGGCCTTGAAGGACAGGAGGACGAGCCACTACCAAGGCAACGGTCAGATAAGAGGCTCGGGAGGCTCTGCTCTTGGTCACTCACACCCTGCTCACCTCCTGACTGGATTGCTGCAATGCGCTCTACGTGGGGCTGCCCTTGAAGAATATCCAGAAGCTTCAGCTGGTGCAAAACCCAGCAGCGCCGGCAGTTATGTGTGCCCCAAGAACAAGTCACGCCTCTGTTCCGCGAGCTGCATTGGTTGTTCGTCTGCTTCCGGGTCCAGTTCGAGGGGCTTTAAAGCCCTGCATGGCTTGGGAGTGGGTTATTTGAGGGACCGCCTCTCCCCAGTGACACCTACCCGTCCCATCAGGACCGGCAGGAGGGCCGTGCTGCGGGTCCTGTCGGCCAAGGAGCTTCATTTGGCGGGACCCAGGAGGAGAGCCTCTTGGAACATCAGTCCCCCCGAGGTGAGGATGGCCCCAACCCCGATGACCTTCCGGAAGGCCCTCAAAACATGGCTTTGCCATCGGGCCTGGGGGTCCCAGGGTAGCGTGGAGCCCGTTAAGTGGCTACACCGTGTATAAGTTTTGCACTCTACCATGTCTTTTTGTTATTATCATTTTTTAAACTGTTTTCAATTGGTCTTTATTTTTAGATTTATCCCGCCTTTCTTATTTTTATAAATAATTCAAGGTGGCAAACCAACCTAATACTCCTGCCTCCTCCTATGTTCCCCACAACAACAGCCCTGTGAGGTGGGTTGGGATGAGAGGGGGGGACTGGCCCAAAGTCACCCAGCCGGCGTTTGTGCCCAAGGCAGGACTAGAACTCGCCATCTCCTGGTTTCTAGCTTGGGGCCTTCACCAGCAGGCCAAACTGGTTTTGATGGCTGAATTGTTTAGCTTACGTTTTAATTGTGTACACTGCCCAGAGCCATGTGCAAGTGAGATGGTGGCTTTATAAATTCAATCAATAAAATTAAGAGGGGCTTGAGCCCAGGCCAAAAAGCTGATTTGGGCAAATGCCTCAAGCGAGCCCCTCCCGAGTTCACGCAAAGCTAAAGGGAGGGAGGGAGGGGAAGCCCCTCCCGACTTGCCAGGTTCTGTTATTAACAGCTGTGCAACCGAAATAGCCCTGACCCGCACGGCCGTGGGTCCCTAGTCTGGGGCACCTCGTAGGGCTGGTGCTTACTCACCATAGCAGTGGAGGAGCTCCTGCCCTTCAGGAATGGGGCGCAAGGCCCTGACCTCCGCAGTGCTGCCGGTGAAAACCACGCTGGTGTTGGGGTCGCAGGAATGGTTCAGCAGACTGAGGGCTGGGAAAAGGCCCGTGGCCAGGCGGACCTGTCCGCTGCCGGCCACCAGCCCGTCTTCGGGGCCTGAGAGGAAGCGAGAGCAAAGCTTGAGGCCGAGGTGGTCCGGAGGACTCTAGGCTTCCAGTACCACCTGCATCGTGCCGCCCCCCCCGGCTTCCCGAAATGAGGGACTTCAACGCCCAGAACGCCAAACTGCAACCTGGGAGAGACAAGGCTGCCTCCACTGACCTGATGGGTGGAGGGCGGTCACGGCCTGAGCGTTACACTGCAGCTGCAGCAGGTGCCTCAGCATGGCCTCCCCCAAGACTTGCAGCCCGGCAGACGCCTCCTCCGCAGCCTGCCGCTCTCCTTTTGCGGCCTCCCCGGAAATCCAAGTTTCCAGGCCAGCGTCCCCAAGCTCCTTGCACAAGGCTGCCACGCTCAGGCTGCAGAGGAACCTGAGGCTGGGGCTGTGTCGATCCGCATGTGGCAAAAGGCTGAAGACCGCTCGGTAGGAGCCGCCGTACCGTCCGTTAGCCTCGCAGCCAGGAATGTGGCGGGAGCCCTTCTCCCCAGC